GTGTCTATATTTAAGTTTCCACAGGATTTGATTTGAAAAGCAAACCAATGGATTAGAGAATTTGTAGAAAAAATAACTTATTATTTAAAATGTTTTAACAATTATGCATTAAAAACTATGAATTATGTTTAGGTGAAAATTATATTAAATTGTTAACTAATCTGCATTTCCACTTAGCATATTCTGTTGTAATATATATAAAACATTAAATACAAGTTTTTGTAAGTTTAAAAATACTGTATTGTCTAATAAAGAATGTAAAAAAAAAAAAAAAAACATAATTTTGCAATTTACTTTTGTTGTTTTTGATTATTTTATTATTATAGTAAATGTACAAAAATGCTTTGTTGAAATGAAAAACAGATATTGAAATGAAAAAGTCACTTGTTGATGTTTAAAACTCTCTCAACATTAAAATCTTTGATGTCACGTAATTTAGTTTAATTGAAAAATTTTCAATAATTTTAACATTAATGTCAATACACACAAGAGCTAGTTAATTATAAATAAGTGCCTTTTATCGAGATTTAGATGAAATGTCTATAATTATAACGTCTGCCCGCTCTCAAAACTCTTACAAAGTTTAGGCTAATTTCAAATATAATAATAATTAATTATTATTATAATTGAAATTCAGTTATGTACTTCTATCCATGATGAACTTCATATTTTCGTGATGCAATTTAATTTTAGCATATGTTTTAGTCACAGCCACAATGAGTTTGTATAGATGATTATCCAAAATGCTCATCAGTAGCATGATCTTTTACACTTTCAAATATATTTACATCGGCATAGTGCATAATCACTGATTGAACAATACTTCCCAAAACATTTTTTTCCAGTTTCCAGTTTTCATTGCTCAACGTTAAATAACGAATCTCCTTTTCTATTTGTTTACAAACATCAATAACATCACTGTTAGCATGTATTATCTTTTAGTTGCACTAAAGGCTTTAATGCAGTATTTGCAGGAATAAACAAGGCATTTTCGCAGTGTATACAAGAAATACCCTTTAAAAGACTCTTGACCCCAAATCCAGCCATATATTCAACAGCCTTCATTGAGAATTCTGTTAAATGCACTTCTGTTGAACTTACATGGTATCTATGATCTTGAAGTGCTGCATATACTGCTATGGTATCTTCAAGAGGCTTTTCCATTTCCCATGTTTTGAAATCATGTCCAAGAACTATCTTGTTGGTGTGAAAATGTTGATGTGATCCAGAACTTGTTGATGCCACACTGAGAATTGTTGTTGTATGAGGAGTTGCATTTGTCTTTTCACTCGTTTTATATTGCATTTGGGTAAGCAAACGCTTGTATGCTTCAGTGAACTGGATTTTTGTGGGATTGTTGTTCTAGCCACCTTTTGCCCTGATCATACCAAAAAGCAATTTAATATGATCTTGTGACAACTTGTATGTGAGGAGATAACTGGAAAAAAAAATAATAAACATGCAGATCAAAAATTATAAATGTAATAATAAATGAAACACAATGAATATCTGCTTCATACTTCAACAAAGGTAAAGGTGATGCTATTAGCTCTTCAAATATAGCTTGTACAACCTTGATTAGGCAAATAAAACCTGTCAATGATGTATGTCGTGCTGACTTCATGATGAGCTGTCAATTCTCAAATGCGAGCTCCTGGAGTCCATCTTTCATTTTGGTCAGAAAGGGCCACCACAAATGCTGATTTGAAACTCGCAAAGGCGCCTTAAAGTTCCAAGCAAATGGATTTTTACTATTAAGGATATCGAAGAGCCTGAAACAAAATCTTAAATTAAAAACTTTTTATACACAACAAATTTTTACATCGACAAGCAAATTTATATACCTGTCTATATCACGAACAAACTCGACAGTCGCTTCACATCCTGCAAACTGTGGCAGCTGCAACTCTAAGCAAGTTTGTAGAGCATCTGCTACAGAGGCACTAAATATTTGAGTTGCAAAATAAACTTTCGTTTTCATTTGTTGGAAGTTAATGTGGGCCTTTGTAAAAGCTTGTTTCCCAAGCGCAAACTCTCAGAACTTTACAGCTGCCAAAGAGCCTCAATATACTCCCATTTGACAACCTAAAAAATGCAATGATGTTAAATGTAGCTTTTACATTTATTTATCAGTGCAACAAACAAACAGTGCAGAATACTTGCCAGAAGCTAAAACCAACACCTTTTTTTTCTGCAAACATATTTCTTAAAAGTTTAATCATATGACATGCATCAGGAAATACTTTTATCAAAGTGCTGTCTGTGGGGTGAAGAAACCAATGTTTTATAATATGACCAGGTAAAATTATTGCACCCAGAGCTCTAGCAGTGGAAAAATTTATGCTTGTACCATCAAAAGTAATTCCCACTACCTTTACATTGACATCATGTAATCGTTGTAGGTGTTACCGCTAAAGCTTGAAACTCGAAACTCGTTAATGTGTACATTACCTAGCTAATCTGCAGATTAACTAGGGTGATCCGTTAAAGTTGTGAAAATTGTTCCATTTCTCAAATTACCTAGATAATGTGCAGAGTATCTAGGTAATCAGCGCATTACCTACTAGGCACTCGGTAAAGTGAAAATAAGATCTTTGCCACAAATAAATGTACCACAAATAGGTGTGCTTGTCGCAAAAACCCAATTGCTATGAAATTCAAAGTGTCACCAATCTTTAGACTGCACTAGTAAGTNTCAGAACTTTACAGCTGCCAAAGAGCCTCAATATACTCCCATTTGACAACCTAAAAAATGCAATGATGTTAAATGTAGCTTTTACATTTATTTATCAGTGCAACAAACAAACAGTGCAGAATACTTGCCAGAAGCTAAAACCAACACCTTTTTTTTCTGCAAACATATTTCTTAAAAGTTTAATCATATGACATGCATCAGGAAATACTTTTATCAAAGTGCTGTCTGTGGGGTGAAGAAACCAATGTTTTATAATATGACCAGGTAAAATTATTGCACCCAGAGCTCTAGCAGTGGAAAAATTTATGCTTGTACCATCAAAAGTAATTCCCACTACCTTTACATTGACATCATGTAATCGTTGTAGGTGTTACCGCTAAAGCTTGAAACTCGAAACTCGTTAATGTGTACATTACCTAGCTAATCTGCAGATTAACTAGGGTGATCCGTTAAAGTTGTGAAAATTGTTCCATTTCTCAAATTACCTAGATAATGTGCAGAGTATCTAGGTAATCAGCGCATTACCTACTAGGCACTCGGTAAAGTGAAAATAAGATCTTTGCCACAAATAAATGTACCACAAATAGGTGTGCTTGTCGCAAAAACCCAATTGCTATGAAATTCAAAGTGTCACCAATCTTTAGACTGCACTAGTAAGTAAGAACAATTGGATAATGTTACCTATGGTGAGTAAAATGGCGGCTCGTCTCTGATTCCAGCAAAGAGAAGAAAGGAAACAGTGGGGACGCACGTTCAAACCTAACTTAACCTATTCTAATAATTTGGTTGGTAATAATTATGATAATTTATTAGAATAGGTTAGGTTAGGTTAGAACGTGCTTCCCCACTGTTTCCTTTCTTCTGTTGGCTGGAATCAGAGACGAATCGCCATTTTACTCACCATAGGTAACATTAACTGCACAATTATATCACGCGATCACCAAAAAAAGTATGATAACTTTATTATTTTTCGTCTCCGGTCCAATATCTAGGGTATCGTTGAAGTCGTCTCGGTCCCCTCAGTTCAGATAGATACTCAAAGTTCCGAAATTCTATAGGTGGTTATCTATATAATAATTTCCCTAATTGTATTAATATTTTAAACCGTTTGATTTTTTGTATGCTTTTTAATTGGTTAATGATATCAACTAATTTGTTGATTGTATTAACTTGATTATTTAGATACCGAAAATTAAATAAAGAACATTATGTTAATTTAAGCGTACAGAAACGTTGCTGTTGTTTCAGCAAAGATCTTATTTTCACTTTACCGAGTGCCTAGTAGGTAATTTGAGAAATAGAACAATTTTAGCAACTTTAACAGATCACCCTAGTTAATCTGCAGATTAGTTAGGTAATGTACACATTAACGAGTTTCGAGCTTTAGCGGTAACATAGGCATTGTATAAGCAAGCCGTTTTTCTGCTTTGTGTGCAGTACAAGAATTGTGTGCAGTTCAAGCAAGCCGTTCTTCTGCTCATAAACCAGCAATAAAAAAATATGCACATGGAATCTTCCAAGATCCATTTAAAGCAACCAGTATGAAAACTAAAACGTCTTTTGCAAGTTCTCCTGTCATACAAATTTCAGTTCCTATGTCAACATAACCATGATAATGATGACCATCGAAATATTCATGCTGTCTAATAACCATTTCATCCATTATTAAACAGCATAAAGTTGGTTTATCTGCAGACATAGAGCGTAGAGCAACAAAAGCTTCCTCGGTAAATCCAGGTGAAGCAGAAATGCCTGAATACCACGAACGAATTGTACGAGGATGAGGCAGAGCGAAGCCCAAGCTGCTTCTAACATAGTTATAACCACTGGATGATAAATAGTTAAGCGTAAGTGCAAACTTACGTAAGGCTGCTGGATATGCTCCTACCGAAATTTTTTAAGCCGATGTTGGACAGCTGTTAGTTGAAATGGAGTGCCATAAGTACCATCTGAACATTCCTCCAGCAACTCCAGTCCTGCCTCAGCGATGTAATTGTTTTTCTTTAAAAATTCTACAACAAAACAAAAAGAAAAAGTTAAAGTCAATAAAAAATAAAATAAAATAAGGTATGGTAAATGAGTAATCAGTTTAGAGAATAGAAGTTACTTAGACTGGTTACTAGACTAAATTGGATTTGTAGCATCGAATGCAGTGCTTGAAGAGAGCGGACTTGATGCTCCAATAACTATGTTACAAGTATTTTGTTCATTGTCATTAACCCTCGGTCATCCAGTTGTCAAACAATTTTCTTCAACATAATAATCACATTTTAATATTTTCATAAAAGTTTGAAATGTTTTACCGTTTTCAAATTAAATCATTAATTTTATATAGTGTTGCAACGAATAGTATATTCGGCCTCAGGCCGTATACCGAATATTCGGCCAGGAGCGTGGCCGAATAGCCGAATATTCGGCCAAACTATTCGCCTTGATTAACGCACGTACGAAAATTGGCGCGCAAAGCGCATTATGGCAAGAACCACGCTCTCTATTGTCCCGCTGTCAATACGCTTCGTCAATCGCGTTAATTCTTGACAGTTGTAGCGGACAGACAAGAGCGTTATGGCAGTACTGTATGTGATAAATGATATCAAATGTGGATAACAATGAAATGACCTACACGTGTAAATAACGAAAAAAGAACAGAGAGAGACCGCGAAGTGAAAATGTGAAAATAAATATGAAATTGAGTCGATAACATAATCGAACGAGTCGAGGCAGCTTATTGGCGCGAAATTCGCGGCCGTCAATGCCAAACAATTGTTGTCATAGACTTCGGAACAGAAAGCTAAATGCTTGTAATGAAAGTCACTTAGCGTGCACGGGCGAAAGCCTGGGACCGTTCGGGCTACTGAGCTGTCTCGAATCTGCGAAATCATAACTGTGACTTATATCGACGTCCTATCTGTCCCTTTTCTTCGTTATCACCAGGCTATGAGTCACGTAATTATAAAATGGGAAATCTACGACGGAAAAGTGACGAATCGAATGTATCGTGAGGGCGTATTATGATATATGCATAGGCATACGTGGATTAGAACGATAGAGGAAAGAGAAAGGGAAGAGCAAAGACGAGCGCTTAAAAAGAAGGATAGGCAGGATCAGACGCTCGGATGTGCGACGATTCTCGAACGAATAGGTGTGTACATGTGCTGATCCTTGTAATTATAAATTGTAAATACGTTATGACTAATATTATTTTCTTTTTTATTTTGTGCATGTTATAAATAAATATAAACAAACGACACTAACCCGATAACATTAAATCTAAATACCAAAATGATTAATTTACTGAGTTTTTCTTATTTCTTACTCCCGTTTTTAGGTATTCGGTATTCGGCCGAATAGTGATTAAATATTCGGTATTCGGCCGAATAGCGAAAAATAAGCCGAATAGGCCGAATACCGAATAGTAACCGAATATTCGTTACATCACTAATTTTATATGAAAAATTTATCAATTTATTTTTTTCCTCTCAAGAAAATTAGTTTTGACATCTCTTCTTGTAAGGTGGCGCTCTGTGACTTAAGGCTTAGGTGAAATGTACGGTTTGCTACGCGCGTTATAAATATAATTTAAAAAAAATAAATATTAAAATTTGTAATGTAGCTTAGAGGCAAGACGTTGAATTGCCGAAAATGTCAAACGAATCGTCACCAGAATTAGAATCGTCGGTAAGGCATCGAAGTCTGTATAAATTCACAACACCTCCGTGGAAAGAAACTTACCGTCAGGTAAACTACATACTTTAAGTTTAAATAGCATAAATGCATATGCATTTCACGGTAAAATGTGTCACCTAGAGGTTTAGACCTGTACGAGGGTGCTGACAAAAGTCAAAGGAACCATTTCTGTATATTCGACCCTTCGCGAGATATTCACCTCCATAAGCCATTTTTTTCTGCATTTAGTCATGTACTTCAGTCATATACCACACAACCCCTTAAACTATACATCAAGTACTCTGTGAACAATCGAGTGAGCTACTCGAAGCTGGTGTAGTCACATGGACTAAAGAGTTAAATGCCGTATTCTTAGCAGAGCTACGCCACTTCCAATCGTGTTGCTATCTGGGCTCTTGATAAATAGATAAGACGTTACGACCACTCTTATAGAATGTGTCCGGTTGCTTATGCAGCCAAGGTTTTGAATGGCTGTCATCGTGTTGTCGTCTCTCTCAAAATTATAACCTGTGTACTCTTCGGGGAAGCCAAAAAAATGATAATTACGAGATGCTGGGTCTGGATTGTTTGATGGATTGTGAAGAATGGCTTGTTCTGGAAGTGTCCTACGTGCTTGTTACGTTTCTGAACTTCTCAAAGTTGCTGCGATGGACAATTTTCCCCATACGTGTATAAAAGTAATATACATGTACTGTATATTTGAAAATCCAGATGATCCAGAATAATAAATCAAAAGAAATTATTAATATAGAAGTGACATTTTATAAAAACACAATATGATCTTCCAAAACTTTTATCCTATATTGTTGTATGATTTTCAGAAATTGATGAAAATTTAAAATACAAAAATTGGAATGAAGTGCATTTCAAATCAAAATTTAAAATTAGAGTTTACCTCTAGAAAAATGGACTAAAAATGCTTATATAACACAACGTGTATTGCTAATATGAAACTGTTTATTGGTGTATATTTAGTGCATAGGGTTGATGTTACATGATATATCACAACAAAATGTATATGTATATATATATATATATTTATTTATTTATATTTAGGACTTTGGGATGTTTGATATACTTATTTAAATTGTTTATTAAATACTGTACAGTATGTTATATGCAAATAAGATTTTTAGCAAAGAGTTGAGAGAAACTTTAAAAGAAAATATAATCAATTTTTAGATGTATCTGATCAAACCACAAGGAAAACTTTGAAGCAGAATGGTTAACTTTATTGCTTCTGAGTTTCAAATCACTACTATGACACCTTTCAATTACACATTCAGCCAACATTACAGTGCTGTTATAACACTATATACATTTTGTTGCTGGATGTGCTCAATAACAACAAAGAATAGCAACAAAAGCCTTTCACTAGTTATTAAAAGGTAATAAAACTAATATTTTGGATACTGTAAAATTTCCAGTTATAATACAATGTATTGCAGCTATATCAGTTCACAAGAGATAAAAATAATACATAAACAAATTGTAATGATAAATAAAAGAAAATTATTTACTTTTCATGTTTCTGATATAGTAAGGAGTACAGCTCATGACTTTACAGAATTTTAGTTGAGAAATATTGTCTTTTACTGTCAGTCCATTTTTTTGCAGAATTGCTCAATTTTTAATTATTTTATTCCCTTTGTAGTTTTCTCTAGTTATTTTAATTTTGTAAATTCCAGTCATCTGTATATTTTCTTGCAATTTCTTTTCATCACTTTTACTATTCTTTTTTAGTATATTTATTTTTGGTTTTCTGTTTTGTTTTTAAAAGATTTTAAGATTTTTTTTTCCTTACATGAAGTTTTTCATTTAGTAATTTTTCATTTTTCAGTAGAATTCAATATGCAACTTGCAAATCTCAGCTTTAATCTGTATAATTTTTTAATATTATTGCCTTCATTTGTCACATAACATGCTATTTTCTTGAATAAATGAACAGAATTGGATTATGTAGGATTGCATTTAATCCTACATAATCCAATTTTTTTTATTAAATCTTTACTAGTTTTTCCAGTACATTGCATTATTGATCTTCAGTAATGTATTTCCTATACTAGTTATAAATTTTACTTCTCTTGAAGGGTATTTTGATAGTGAATAAAATCATACTTTGTAATTGGATTTTTATTTGTTCTTATTTTTTTGACTTAAAAAGTCTTTCTATGTCATTTAAATTTTGCTTACACTGTACTTTGAGCTATTGATTAATAACTTGTCATCTGCTGATAGTATTATAAAGATATGATAATTATACATGTAATATGTAAGAAACAATTATACTGATTTTTTTATATAAAGAGAATATGTAGAAATTATTAATAAAAAGTATTGTATATTTAATTTTACAAATGAGTAATAACATTTTGAGTAAGTAAAATTTTTCTCTTCTGTACAAGGACTATATTGAAACTAATACAGAAGTGGGCATAACTTTTATTTACTGACATAATCATTCAAATTGCACTTGTTGATAGTGTAACTTTTCATCTTTACAAAGATACTACTCACTCTTCATTACAAGTAATGCATTTATGCCATCATTGAACTTATATGGAGTCCTCTTTGAAAAATTCAGATGTGCACTGTTGTATTCACTTCTTCACAGCCACTTTCATCTTGTCTGTGTCATCAAATTGTTGTCCCCAAAGAAGTCAGAGAATGCCAGATCTGGGTTGTATGATAGATGGGGAACCATTAACTGTAGTGTGTATCTGAATTTTTTCAGAGGATTTCAAAGTTGGTTTAAATGATGGTGTAAGTGCATTGCTTATAATGAAGACTATGTTGAGTATTACCTATGTATAGCAGAAGAGTTACTCTACCAATAAGTGCAGTTTGAACAACCTATGTCAGTAAATAAAACGTTGTGTTCACTTTTGTATTAGTTTTGATATAGGAATTAGTTTTTGTATTAGTTTTCATATAGAATTAGAAAAACCTAAGAATTTTGATATTTCAAAATTCTTAGGTTTTTCTAATTTTTTTTAATTATTTATATTATTATTATTATTCATTGATTAATTTTAAAATTTGTATTTTATTAAATTATTTTTATTTCCAGAAATGCCATGAACGTTTGCAAAATAGTCGTCAACGTCTTTTTAATAAATTCAGAGGACTTACCATTGAAACTGATGCATTTCAAAAAGATGCTATTGAACAAAAGATAAAACAGATAATGGAAGAAGAGTGGACAAAGATGCATAATAGTTCTATTAGTAATAAATCTTTTGAGGTGAGCATTTAAGACTTAAAGATATACATGTTTTATATATTATATATCGTTGTTTTCATATTACATATTCACATTCATTACTACATTGTGTAATTTAATTGAACATAAAAAAAATTCAGTTCTATAAATTCTGGATTTTCATTATAAGAATGTGGACTTTGAAAATGTGTTTGAAACGCAGGAGATCTTGGTAAAGCTTGTCATGCCAGCAATTGGACATATAAAAGTGGGAGAACCTTAAGAAATTCAAAGCATGAATTAAATTAATATTTTAAAAAGATTAAAAATATTTTTTCAGTAGCAAAATTTCATGTTACATATTCTCAATATAATGAACAAGTAAAACGCCAAAGCCATTTTTGGGACAAGATTGTGTCTTGGAGACTCAAGGCTTGGCTGCCCACCATTTTCTAAGGAAAAGAGAAAAATGAGCACTTTCCAATGAAGAAAAGTTGACACCGATACTCGGGTTCTGGCGTAGATTACGGCGGGCTTTGTTGAAACTGTGGTTATGACAGGTTGCATTGTCATGGGCCTGCTCTTGGTTACATTAAGCAGGATGGATCACTTTGGTGCTCATGGCGGGTCTCATTCTCATTCCAATCTTCTTTGGTATTGCTGGTTTTGAGTGTGATCATTCAAACTTCACTAGCCTCTGCTATGGCTGTAACCATGAGGTCATCCCTGATGCATTTTTGGTGAAATTAACCTATCCAATGTCGAAATTTATCTTTGTTGCATGTTGCCCTGGGTTGAATTTTTGGTTGATGCCTAACAAAAATTTCCCGGTTTTGAAAAAAATAATCGTGGCTATTGTATTGTCCAAAATTATTTTAATATATTTATAAATGTAAAAACAAAAAAAAATTATATTTTGGAAGTTAGTTTTAATATAAAATTAGAACAACTAGCGCCAGCTAGTTTCAAAACGTTCTGATGCTGAAACAAGATACCTCAGGTCAATCAGTCAAGATCAGCAGATCATGATCAGAGATATGTTGAGAATAACATGGGACAGGTAAATGTTTTTTTTTCAAAGATTTGTTTGTCAAAATTCAGTTTTGCAACATTCACATTGTCAACTTCCCAACAAGCAATGCATGAGCAAATCTCACACTAGTACCAGTTTGTAGAAATCTGTTGCCATTTTATATTTTATTTTGGCTTGGTTCTCGGTCCCTTGACTATCTACAAGTCTGGTTTTTTTTATGTGTGCATGATTTGGGAACCAAATACTCTGTGCCAAATATCAACTCCTGACATGTACTCCTTCATACCTCTAAGGTGATAAGCCGTTGACAGCATTGCGATTTTATAAACAAGACATAGTCTTGTCAAAAATCTGTGCAAACCTCTATTGAATTGGAAACATCAATAATAATATTTTTTTCAGCTGTTACTTTAGTTTTTGAATATCTACTCTGGAGAATGCATTTCAGAATAATCAGTTTTAAAGAATTAGAGTAATGGAACACAAGTTTGTTTTCTTGATGAATTTTTCTTAAGTTTTTACTGTACATTTATATATAATAATAAATATAGAATATATTTTGAAATAATCACATAACAACAGATAGAAATTTCAAGCAAACCTGGATTTAGTGGATAGTTTAGTTTAGAGAACAGCTGTATTTGAGTAGACAAATGCCAGTGCATTATAGTAATAGGGCAATTAATGTTTTATCTTGATTAAGCAGACAATGGACAAAAATTTATCTCCTTTCAATTTCCCAAAATCTTTTAAGCTGACAATACAATAAATTTTTTTATTATCTAGTAATATCATATTAAAAATTCCATGTCCATCTTTGGTGCCATTGTTTTGTAAGATTTTTAATTTTCATTATATTAAAGTTGTCTAATGTGAGTTTTATGATTCTAGGTTTAAATACTACCCTGATACTATATGTGATAAACTTTAATAAATTGTAAATATACACGACCATTGAAATCCAATACGTTAAGGCTGTTCTGGCCATAGGCACGAGTGTTTCCCCAGTCGGCGCCGTAATAACCTTCAATGATTATTTCTTAACTTATACCAGGTTGTTCAATAAGTTTTGTCATTCGATAATAGGTGGCGCTAGTAGGAGCGTCACTTTATTACTCTAAAAATAGTACTACTATTTCATAAACACGTGTCAAGTTTCAAGTAGATCAGTCAACTCATTGTATATTTGCAGCTGTTCAAAGTCGACGTGTCATTGTATTTTTTTACAATGGAAAAAATCGAATATCGTGCGGTGATAAAATTCTTATTTTTGGAAGGTGTAGCACCAAAACAAATTCATGAACGATTGTTAAAAGTGTATAAGGACTCTTCACCTTCAATCAGAACAGTAGAAAGATGGGTTGCTGAATTTAAACGTGGTCGTACGAGTCTNAACAATGGATTAAGCATATTTGTTTGCTGTATGAAATACTATATCTGATATAAAAGGATTATAGAATTAAAACTAACATATAATTGACTTTAAATTAAAACTATAACATTGGAAAATCATTTAAATTGTAGAACAAGTACCTAGTTGTTAATTTTCATAGTTTCAATTCTACTATGACACATACACCTTATGTCTCTGAGAATCAATACTTATTGTTTTACAAACAAATACATCTATAACTGCTTTAAATGATCAGGCTAAATTTTGGATAAATGATTATAGATTAGAAATGAATTTGGCACTAGAGTGAGGCATTAGGTGCCATCTCTTATTAAAATTAATAATTATAATATTTAATTAATTAATTTAGATTAAACTGGAAAAAAAAAAATGGCCCGAAGCAGGACTTGAACCTACAACTCCTGCTTACCGTGCAGATGCATTGCCATTTATGCTACCTGGACCTTCAGTCTGATCTTCTCTTCAGCATATATAAGTTAAGATATAACTGTTGATGGTTATTATGGCGCCGACACAATTGCGCCCTCAGCCAGAAAGATCCACTGAAGGCACTGAGTTGGCCATTGCAACCCCGGCAAGGTATAGAGATATACAGGGTGCATAGGAAAGTCCTTTTAACCAGAAAATTCTTGCGAACGGAGAGAGCTACAGCTATGCAAGTGAGGTAACGGTGTAGTAAAGCAACTACGCCCAACCTAACGCAAACAACAGCAGCGCCCCTAGTGGCAAAATTTGGATGTCATTTCTCATGATACACACCATTATTATCAAACTATATTGAAGTATCATGAGAAATGGCAAACTTTTCAAACATACTCGACATTAACTTGTTATCACTGTGTGACAGTTTGCCTTTCCATTGTTTTTTTATGTGATGTTATCAAACTGTATATGACATAACTACAGTATGTATTTTAGGCAATAAATTGTGTGTATTTCTTCATACCTATGGCTATTCCTTTCAAACGTTTACACAAAATGGCGTGCATCGCTTTCGGACATTTTTGGGTATAAAGGCGACAATTTATCTTATCCATGTGAACCACATGTCTTTTCGTACTAATTAATTGATGCTCTAAAACTTTCTAATTGGGGAGTTTGTTCTATCTGTTTTCATTTTCGATTTGCACTGCCTATCATCCAAATTTTGCCACTAGGGGCGCTGCTGTTGTTTGCGTTAGGTTGGGCGTAGTTGCTTTACTACACCGTTACCTCACTTGCATAGCTGTAGCTCTCTCCGTTCGCAAGAATTTTCTGGTTAAAAGGACTTTCCTATGCACCCTGTATATCTCTATACCTTGCCAGGGTTGCATGGCCAACTCAGTGACTTCAGTGGATGTTTCTGGCTGAGGGCACAATTGTGTCGGCGCCATAATAACCATCAACAGTTATATCTTAACTTATATATGCTGAAGAGAAGATCAGACTGAAGGTCCAGGTAGCGTAAATGGAAATGTGTCCGCACGGTAAGCAGGAGTTGCGGGTTCGAGTCCCGCTTTGGGCCAATTCTTTTCTTCCAGTTTATTCTAAATTATTTAATTAATTAATAATTTTAATAAGTGATGGCACCTAATGCCTCACTCTAGTGCCAAATTCATTTTTAATTTATAATTATTTATCCAAAATATAGCCCGATCATTTATGGCTGTTGTAGATTAATAAATTGATTCATTTCTCTTGCATAATGGAAACAAGGAATTAATTAATTTTACGATTTTTGAAGAAGGAAAGAATAACAGACATAATGAATCAAATGTGCCATATGTGAGGAATTTTCTTGGTAGTTCTATGTAGCACAATTAGTAACATTATCATTCTGGTTTGCAGAAATTGTAGCTTCAAGTCCCACTTCATGTCAGATTTTTTTCTAGATTTCTCCAAAGTAATTAAGAAATTTAATATAAGATGGATTAACTAATGTAATTGAGATTAGAAGCTTAAGGCTTCTAATATCAATTACATTAGTTAATTAATTATGTAAAAACAGCCTTGTATTTTTAGTGAAACAAAAATCATATACAGGTATACCTTGCCTTACGTTGGTAATTAGTTCCAGGAGAACGACTTAAGTCAAAAACGACATAAGTCGAATTTACTTGTCTCTAAATCTACTTGTCACTAGGCTAAACCATAAATTGTCAATTCCAGTTCTGTATTTTATTTATTAATACATTTTTAATAATGTATGGTTAATAAGAATCTATTTTAAGCTTACAAACAAATAAATTTTAGTTTTTAATATAGTACAGAGAAAAGTATTCTAAATTTACGAATGCATGTACTGTAAATGTATATATTTTAATATGATTTTATGTGCTTTAAACATTTTTCTAGTGATATTACAACTTCAATATTTGTGGCGGACAGACGTAAAGTCGAATAAAATGACTTAAACTTGATTTTTATTTTTCCATATACTTTTTTGACAAACGACGTATAATCGGGAACGACGTAAGTCGAGGTATACCTGTATTGGTTATTTGAAAAATCACCAGATTGAAGTTTGATGATCATAAGACAGGTTCAAAAATTGCATTGAGTTCTGCTTGAAAAATTGAAGTATAGAAAAAATATTTTAGTTGTATTGAAAGTAGT